TGATCCTCAGGGTCCCTAGACCTGTCACCTTGCCACCACGCTACCCAGAATTCAGCGAGAGCGGAGAGGAGAAGAGTGGGTGCTTCACCTTCCAGGCTTCTGCTGTCCCCTCGAGGTCTGGGTGGTACCGACCAGCCTGCGTGTCCCTTCTTTGGCAGGCATATGTGCTTTGGGACCAGTGTGGGCCGGTGGATGAGAATGGAATTCGTGTGTGTGACATGAAGATGCCGAAGAAAACCTGTGGGAGATGAGAGAAGGCAGCGCTTGAGGGAAATGGTTAACAGAGCAAAGAATGAGAAAATGACCCCTCCCATAATGCCCTCTGGTAACAGCTCAGTAAATTCTGGGTATGGAGAAAAAGATCAGAGTAATCTATTTAACTTCCTAAATCCTTGATTATTGCAAAGGGGGATTTAGGAAAGAAGTTTACAGTGCCTCACTGAGTTCATTAGCTCTAAATGTGTAGGTGTAAATATATACGTACACGCCCATGTTCTTTCTGATAACCTGGAATATTTTCCCCTGAATTTCTCTGAAGAATAAGATGGGCAGGGGTGCTTGGGTGGCTCAGTTGGTTAAGCCTCCGACTTCGGCTCAGGTCATGATCTCATGGTTCGTGGGTTCGAGCCCCGCGTCGGGCTCTGTGCTGACACCTGGCTCAGACAGAGCCTAGAGCCTGCTTCAGATTCTGTATCTGCCTCTCCTTCTGACCCTCCCCTTCTCACGCTGTCTCTCCCTCCCAGAAATAAGTGAATAAAATTTTTAAAAAATTTAATTAAAAAAAGAATAAGATGGGCAGAGGACACATCAAACCTGACTACCTACATTCTGTAATTAAAGTATCTCACCAACTCAACCTAAGATTAATTTGATTAATTTTACTCATTCAGACCAAGTAGCCTTATATGCAGAAGACACCTGTTAAAAATAAGTATATGCCTAAAAGGATTATTAGGAGTCATTAGGAAAGAGTGAATACAAAATATGATAGGTCACTATTTGTAGGGAAAGGGATCAGGAGAGAAGTGTGGAGAGTTTACCAGTGTGTTTTGGAAATTGTCTTAGATACTTTGTGGAACAAAATATGTTACAAATAAATATTTGCTGTCAAATACTATACCCCCTTGCTCAGGGGTATCATTCTGTATCTCTCTGTATCATTCCAGTTTTAGTATATAGGCTGCCAAAGTAAGCACTCAAATACTGTCCATCCTTAACACAGATGTGGAAAATCGAGAAAGACGTTTTGGGAGTCCATTGGAACAAAGGTTCAGAGAAACAGATTCACAGTTGGAGAAAAGTGGCTGAGGAAGGGACAGTTGCATTGTATCCTAACATTAACATTCTGATTCAGGGAAGAAACCTGGTTTCTTACAGTCCATGGTATTCTTGTTCCATGCGGATTTTTAATAATACTCACTGGTCCGGGTCTTACCAAATAAATATAAAACATCTGCTAATAGATATCTCCAGCAATACTACTCCCCCCCCCCAAAAAAAAAAAGGAAGGAAAGAACTTAGTTCTTCAGGATGAGTGTTATTTGGATGCATGTCTTCTCTATGGAAGATACTATAAATTGCAGGGCAAATGATGCGACTATCCCTTTTTTACTTCATGAAATATCATAGCTGAAAAAGCAAGAACTGTGTTTTGAACCCACCAATCTATAGCTGGAATCCTTCCAATAACTTTTTAGAATTTGGGGTCTACTTTCCGTACATATGGGAAAATGAATCTTATGCCCTGTTAAAATTCAACAGGAAATTGAAACCAACATGCTTGTGGCCAACTTCGTGTTTCATTCTACTAGTTATTTCAAAGTGCTTTTCATCTTTAATTTCCTTGAGAGTGTGCATAGTGAGGCAAAGTTGGTAATTACCCAAACAGACTTTAGGTGTTAAATATTATTCAAACAAACCCAGTAAATGGCATCTACAATAAAGAGCAGGGAAACAAAGAGATTACAGTGTTTCATTCCAACCCAGACACCCTCAGGAGAACAGAGAGCACAAGGCAAACCCCAAAGTGTTTATATACTCCCTGAGCTGTACTGAGAAAGTTCACAGGAAGCAGTTAAAGACACAGCAACTAAACCCAGCATTTAACTGGATTTCTGTGGAATCTTGCTGTTTTGTGCAATTAACAGCCAGACGGAAAATATATCATTATTAGTCAATCTTGATTTTAATGGAGTTTGGTTTTTAAGGCAGCTCTTCTGCCACATATGCCTCGTGGAAATCTCACAAAGACAGCCTTCCTGTAGGAATTGTGTGGCTCAGCTGGTTGATCCCGGTGGTGCAGACTCTGTTCACTGCCATGTAAGCACATCAAATCCCCACTGTATTATGCCTCCCCAAGGACTACCTGGGGGGAGAGAGGAACTCAAGGAGACACTCCCCGCTATTGTTAAAATGGAGGCAAAGAATGTTGTGACATGCATGCAACAGCCACGTTGCATTACGTAGGATTTACAAGGATATGACCCGGGCTTGGTTCTCACCAGAAAGAGTAAGCCACACAGGCCGCCAGACGCTACATTGGGGAAACTTTGGCCCTAAAAACAGCCACCAGGCGGCTTCCCCAAGTTTCGTTGTATTGAACCCTCCATTTCTGCCCTCCTGTGGCTCGGCTCCTGTGCCGCCTTGTAAATGAAGCTTCCCCAACATCCTCCAGTTAGAAGCCATGCTTCCCTCCTGCTGTTTCAGTTACACTGTTTGCCCATCTTTGCCGGCCCTTAAAACTCTCTGCCTGTCATGACCAGTGCTATCCCTTCCTGTCTCTCCCACTAGTTTGTGTGTTCCTGGAAGGAAAGGTCTAAGACTCCTAGTGTCTGCATTTCACACATTAGGTGCTCAATAATAACAAAATGACATCTATTGAGTACTTATATGCTGAGCTCATTACTTATTTAATACTTAAAACTCTAATGGTAACGAACATGGGCTTTGGAGCCAGACCACCTATGTTCAAAGCCTCCTTCCATTACCTTGTGACTTATCGTACATAGATTTCTAGACCTATGTGATGGAGAGTGATTTAGCTAATCCTATCAATAATATTAATTCTTTGCATTTCTTTAGTATTTTGCTGTTTTCACAGTCCTTGCACATAAAATATCTCAAATGATCTTCACCGATCCTTCTAAGATGGACGTGATGGCTGTCATTCTCCCCCTTTGACTGAGGAGTCTGCTAGAGAGGCTCATGGCTTGACTGTTGTCTTATAGCCAGAGATTGGCAGGGCTACACCTTGAACTAAGATCTGCTAAATCCATCCACAGGCTTCTTGCCTCGTCCCTCAGCACCACCCATGTGTGTACGCGTATCCTCACTTGAGGGTACGCAGAACCAGGTGCTGTGCTAGAGCCTTTGCTGGCTCAGGCTGTCTGGTAACCATAGCAATTGTCGCTCTCCTCGTGGCAAATGAGATCACCTGGCACACACCGGCTCTCAAGATTGGAGTTAGAAGAGATGAAGCATTTTCCACAGAGGGCCATTAAGTTTGGAATTCCCTTCCCCTGGTCTGACATAGCCCTGGAGTATTGGTCTTCTGGGTCTTTGCAAACCACATCAAGTTGAGTTGGCCAACTGTGATTGGTAAGAAATCCTAATGGGCAGGAAGAAAGTGCTAAATTGACTTTTAGTAGCTGTGAGCAGTTTGTAATTTTGTGTTTTTTGCTGTTTGTATCCCTTAGGATAACTAACGAACCATACATAATTTTCATTCTTTAAACGTATAAAATTTTAGTCAGCACTTTGCATGAGTTTGTTTCTGTGTTCTTACATCATGTCGCACATGATGTGATGGAGAAACCTATAGGGAAGTTTTTGTTTCTTTTGCATAAACTATTTTGCAATAATTGACCAGCCATAGAGAAAAGATTATCTCCTGTGCACTCTCAGTGAGTTCTCTGGTCACCAGAGACCAATAAGCTGTGTCCCTAGAACTATTATCACTTTGTTGAAGAAGCTGCTATGTGAACAAAAACCAGCCTTCGTTAATTTCCCTTTTCGTATTTAAAAAACCTTGTCAGTATTTTCCCGCTGGGAGTTTATAATTTGTCAGTAGTGCATATTGAGGTCTAAAGAGGAAAGATATAGGGCAGTAGAGTCTTACTAATTTCTTTATCTTAATGCCGGATTTTAATGTTGCCACTCACTGAAATATAATTCCCTACATTTGTAATCTTACTGTGGTATATAGGTCTTAACTTTCACTTCATAGAAATGCAAAATCTTAGAAATGTACAACGCTTTTGAGACAAATTTGTCTCACATACACTCACAGTTTAACTGATAAAGGAACTGATTGATCCAGTGGTTGGCCTGAGCCCACATTGTAGTCAGTGTAAGAATCGGGGTATATAAACTCAGCCTTGGACTCTCTCCCTTGTTGCTTGTGGTGTGTTTATCTGTTCTAGTTCTCCAACTGCTTTGTGAGCTTCTGAAAGCAGATTTGATCCTTGTATGTCCTAATCAGAGCTGCTTGGTTAATGCCTGTTAACTAATGTCAGACTTGATTACAGTGTTCGAAGAGCCTCGAAGGCTACACATTCCTTTCATTATCTGGTCTTTTTTATTCATCCTCTTATATAGATAGAAAAAGGTGGGAAATGGTCAAGTGATTTATGATACAAAATAATTTGATTAAACTTCACCGTCATTGCTTCTAAACATCTATTCTGAAGTTGAAAATTGTTTTAAGGAATAGTCTAAGGAATTTTAAGTTCTTTATTAATGGTTTACGTTATCTCACATGTATAGTGACCAGACTGCTATTACATTATTCGTTGTTCTGAAAAAGCTTTGTGTATTATTTGCAGCAATGGACATGGGCCTTCGAGCTCATCTTCAAAATCAAAGAGTAAACGTAACAAATCAACCGTTCAGCTGGCAGTCTCTGCAAAGTGGATTTTTGTGCCCTGGGAGGAGTTGGTCTAGGGAATATTTGCCCTGTTATTCTTTTGTAATATCTAGATACTCACCATAAACAATTACAGTTTGTTTCAGTGTTGGAAGGGGTGTTGTCTAAGCTGTCAAGATATGATGAAGGCACTTTCTTTTCATCCATTCTGTCATTCACTGTAAGTATTTGATTGCGTTCTCTTCTGTCTTTTGACTGTTGTCATAGTACTTATCTAACAGTTCAGAAATAATTCTCATAATTATCTCTTTTTCACTTAAGGTGAAAGCAGCTGCAAAATATGTTGATGTTCCAGTAAGTATTTTTCCATTTGTTTTTGTAAAAATTATATATATAGATAGGGGCGGGCACCTGGGTGGCTCAGTCAGCTAAGCGTCCGACTCTTGGCTTTGGCTCAGGTCATGATCTCATGGTTTCGTGGGTTCAGGCCCCACTTCAGGCTCCATGCTGACAGTACAGAGCCCGCTTGTGATTCTGTCCCCCTCTCTCTGCCTGTCCTCCACTCACACGGTCTCTGTCTCTCTTAGAAAACTGTGTGTGTGTGTACACATATGTATGTACACACATGCATACATACATACATACATACACACACACACACACCATATATATATATAATTTTTAAAAATAATTTTGGGGGGCGCCTGGGTGGCTTAGAATGTTAAGCGTCTGACTTTCGCATAGGTCATGATCTCGCGGTTCGTGGGTTCGAGCCCCGCGTCGGGCTCTGTGCTGACTGCCAGCTCAGAGCCTGGAGCCTATTTCAGAGTCTGTGTCTCCCTCTCTCTCCGACCCTCCCCTGCTCACACTGTCTCTCTCTCTCTGTCTCTCTCCTAGAAATAAATAAAAATATTAAAAAAATAATAATAATAAATAAAAATAATTTTGGTTTCCCACAGGTTTATTTCAGATCTTTAAAAGAGTAAGTGCCGACTCAAAGGGAGCAGTTTATTTTCTTTAAGCAAGTGCTAGCCTTCATAAGAAGGCTTGACACAGTTATTTCAGTGTACATTTTCCATTTTATCTTGGGAACTCTTATAGAGGTCAAGTCATTGTGAGAGCATGTCAGCTCAGTTGCAGAGGGTAATTACAATACTCTAGGATGGGGTAGAAAATGCCTCATTCGTTTTATAGAAAAATGCTTACTCTCTCCCCCCTTTATATGAAAGCTGTAATAGGTTTCTTATAGGAGTTAAAGTAACAATAAAGATGAACCAGTTAAATCAAAGAACTAGTTTTCTAAACACAAAAGTATTATAAATCAGTTTTCACTTATTTCAACATTTAGTTTTTCACAGAATTCTTGGGAAATAATTTGTAACCTGTAAATCTGTTCAAAGATTAAGATACCATGAACTACCACTGGAAAATTCACATGATAGCGGTGCCTGGTAACTCGTGCCTGGTGACTCAGTCTGATCCTTGACCTCATCTCAGGTCTTGATCTCAAGGTTGTGAGGTCAGCCCCCATATTGGGCTCCACGGTAGGTGTGATGCCTATGTTAAAAAAAATTCACATAATAAATATAATCAAGTTAGTGCAGCCTTTTTAAGTTGATAATCCTGACAGATTAGTTTTTGCCTTCATTCTGATATCACATATGTGATCAAGGCCTGATATGTTCTGCCTGATATATATCTTGGCATATGTATCACTTTCTTTTGAACACAATGGAGATAAAGCTTACAAATTCAAACTAAATGGAAACGGAATTGAAGTCCCCTTTGCTTAAGATTGTGCTTGGGCAGCACCACGTGTAGGTTGTCATTTTGAATGTTAATGATTTGAGTCCCGGCATAAGCTTTGTAGACCAGTAGTAGGCGGCTCTCACTTTTAAAATGCAGAACCACGTTGTATACTGTGGACTAGACAGTCCCCAGATTTATTGCTACTATAATTATTATAAATGGATGTTTGTATCATTTTATTTTATTATTTTTTCATCATGATAAGTGTACTTTTTAATCCCCAGTCCTCTACTTCCCCCATCCTCCCACCCACCTCCCCTCTGCAACCATTAGTTTGTTCTCTGTAGTTAAGAGTATAAATGGTGGCGCTCCTGGGTGGCTCAGTTGGTTAGCTGATTGAGCCTGGAGGCTGCTTTGGATTCTAAGACTACCTCTCTCTCTCTCTCTCTATCCCTCCCCTGCTTGTGCACTCGTTCTCGCTCTCTCGCTCTCTCTCTCTCATTCTCTCTCTCAAATATAAATAAACATTAACAAATGTTTAAAAAGAGTATAAATAGATACTTTAAGTGAAAAGGCCATGGACTTTCCTGCCTTTGCATGGGGTTTCTTTATAACAAGGCTTTTTTATCTTATAAATGATTCCCAAAAAAGTCTTGATATACTCCTTGTCTTCTACGTAGAATCAGAAAATCAGCACTGGGAAATAAGCAGAAATAATCACATGTAGGGTCTTGCAAAGTGACAGCACAAAAGAAAGGAAGGGAAAATTAAGGAGAAGAGCTTATATTTCCTGTCTTACAAAGAAGAAGACAAGGAATCTTAAGAACACATGAAGTTCATTGGAATTCCTAGCACAGGTCTTATAATACAGCTTTGTTTTTATTTTGAATCACAGATGGAATGGGACACAATATTTCTGTTCTTAGGGCTTTTGAAGTTCTTAACCTGACCCTATCCTATGTCTGTTAGACCTTCTTGAACCTCAGAGTTGAAAATGCAGAAAGAGGTTCATTTTCCTTCTAGATGCTGAAACCCCTTCCCCCCATATCCCTCACAAAAATTCATTCAGTCTCTTAATTTTTTCAGTGATTACAGACTTACCACAAGGCAGCCTCCTCATAGGTTTAATGAGTTGAAATTCGGTACCTCTGTGAATTTTACCTTGGTTCTAATCCCTCTTCTGCATGATAACCCTTCAAATGTTTGATGATAATTAATCATGCCTCCTCTTCCCAAAGGATATGGTGGCTATTCAAAGGGATATATTGTCTGAGGGGTTCTTATTTTCTATATTAAACAAGCTCAGTTTCTTCACTGAACCCACTAATCAAATATTTATGTAAGGGACACTAAATGCTAGGCCTTGGGCTTACATGGTGAAAATAGACATTGCCTGCCCACAGCCATTCAGTGTCCAGGACCAAAGACATAGGGAAACAGACATAGCGTGAAAACAGCTACAACTGTACCCAAGCTCTGTATCATGCCATTATTCACTCTGTAGATGAATCCCAGCTTAGTGGCGTCATTATTAAATCAAGTTGTGCACCCACCTCCCCCACCCCCCAGCAGAGTGTACTAAACCATAGACATGGTCTGGCCATGGCAGATTATTACTGATGCCCGTGAATATTAACGTCAATAGCTACAAGTTGCTGTTAACTGTTACTGTTTTTTATGCTAAAACTCCTGCAAGTATGTCTCCCTGAAGCATTCTTTTAGGAAGAACCTCAGGAGGAAAAAGTACACTGGTTCACCTTTTGTAAAAACGAACTCAAACCTACCAGTAAAATGGAAAACCTACCAGTAAAATGCAAACTGTAAAACTGAGAAAACATAAGAGAAAATATATGTGGTCTTGGGTTCGGTGAGGATGTTTTAGGTACACCACCAAACACCTCCAGGAAAGAGAAACGGTGTAAATTAGACTTAATAATTAACTGCTCTGCACAGTTAAAAGAATGAAAAGACAAGCTAGAGACACCTGTTTGGCAAAGAACTTGTATCTAAAATGTATGAAGAACTCTCAACAATTTAAAAAAATGTTAATGGCAAAAGATCAGAATGGATACTATACCAAAGACATACAGATACCAAATAAGCATATGAAAAGATGCCCATTGTCATTTATTGGTAGGGACATGCACGTTAAAATAATGTGATACCACTACACACCTATTAGGGTGGCTAAAATTTAAAATAAAGCTGTCAATGGCAAAATGTTGACCGGGACTCTCATTCATTGCTGATGTAAAAGGAATCTGGTACGGCCACTTTGGAAGACTGGCCATTTTTTAGAAAGCTTAAGAGCCTCACCTGCAACCCACCAATTGCACTTCCAGGTATTTATCCAACTGATTTGAAAATGTGCATCCGCACCCAAACCTGAACATGAATGTTCATAGCAGCCTTTTTCATAATCATCAAATATTGTAACCAACCAAAATATCCTTCAATAGACAAAGGCAACAATTGGAATACACCCCAGCGAAAAAAGAAAAAAAGAAAAAGAAAAATTGGCCAACATGCCACACTGAGACATGGACGAATCTTAAAGGCATATTCCCAAGTGTGAGAAGGCAGTCTGAGAAGACTACACACTATATAATTCTATTTATATCACCTTATAGTAAAGGTAAAACTATAAAGATTATAAAAGAGATTAATGGTTGCCATTAGTTCAAGGTCAGGGAAGTGAGTAGGTGAAGCCCAGGAAACTTTTAGGAGCGGGGGAACTCTTCTATGAGATACTGTAATGGTTACATGATTCTATGTATTTGTCAAAACCTACCGTTACAGCACAAAGATGGAACCTGAGCATAGGTAAGTTTTTAAAAGGACACTTAGGATATCATGGGATCCCAGGATGGAAACGACTTGTTGTTGTTGTTGTTGTTGTTGTTGTTGTTGTTAATCTAATTCTATTGCAGCTGTGTGGAGTAATCTCCCTGAAAAAGATGAAGGAAAAAGTGCTGATTTGAGTAAATTTGGAAATAATTAGAGTCTGTAAAAATAAAGGGAGAAGGAGCTGTACATAAGCATTGTAGTCTAGTTGATAAACTGTTTCCCCTCCTCCTACACACTGGAAGCAAATGGCTAAGTAAAGAGATGATGTTTGGTGAAAGCCAAGTCTCTGACTGTTGGGAGTGAGAGGCTGGAGACCAGAGGAAGAGGCTAGAATGATCCATATGGTAATGGATTAGAGTTGGAGTCATCAGTGTGAACTTCTCTGGAACTTAATATGGAGCTGGTTACATGTAGAAATATAGATATACACATATATTTCCTTGGTTTGTTAGCCGAGAGAACCCAGAAGCAATGGTACCCCCGTAGCAACAACCACACCAAGTGCCCAGATCTTAGTATCGAGTCTGCAGTAAGATGAACCAGGAGTCTTTGGAGAAATGGCAGGTGCTAGGACTGGGGCAGCAAATCTACAAAATGAGCCTGGAGCATCTTAAAGTGACAGAAAGCAAAAGAAATATTTGGGAGAAAAAACCCACAATGCTAGGGGATATGTTAAAGAGACCCCGGAGGCACTTGAAGAGCTCCCAAGGGCCTCAGCTAGGGTAATTTGAGCAGCTAAATAAATTAGGTAGTATTAG